CATATCAACCTAATATTCATGATTGCACACAATAAACTGCTTAGAGCCCTAACCTTCAATGGGAGGAAACTCAACCATTCCAAATTGTTAAAAAGTGACAGGAGACCAAAATAAAAAAAAAAGCACAACGCTGACAATTCTAACCTCATCAAAACCATCACCATGTTACACATTAGTCCTGGGCCTGGTGCTCCACATCCCAATTCATTTCTTGTTACCGTAGTCAGCAAGATGATTTGTCAATATAGGTTTCCACCTTAATGAGAAATTCATGTTGGAGGTCAAAGAATTTGTTTCTCAGGAACCAAGGGCCCTCAACCTGCCAGCCTATACAACTTGACCACTCCCCTTCCACATCTTATGTTAAACTTAAAGTTAACTTGAAAGAAAAAAAGCAACTTTCTTTTTCAAAGTTTCAGAGCATTTATATATTAAATAGTCCATCTGTCAATTTCAATGCTTTATAACCCAAAATGTAGGTCTGTCCAAGTGATGGTTCATCAGTTTAACCATCTGAGTTGAATGGGTCAGGCCATTAGAGTAGAGGATGCCCTTCAGATGGGAATATAAGGTTGGGTTTAGCCCTCCACCCTTAAAAGGGAATATTAGGTTAGAATTAAGTGTCTTTCTTTATTAGATGAGAAAAAAGAAAGAAAGACCAAGGAGGAAGGGGGTGACTTACCACCGCCACCATCTCAGTTGCCATCACCTGTAAAGTGGTCTCCCTTCTCCTCCCATGTGGCTGTATCATTAGAGTTGCTGCATCACCACTGGCCTCTATTTCATGCCATTGGCCTCCCTTCTCAATATTGTTGTCTTTCACTATCCTCTTCTCTCTCTTAGGCCTCCTTCACTTTCCAGAAAGCTATCTACCTAGGTAAGTCCACCTACACGGGTAAGTGAACTTACCTGTGTTCATTTGATTTTCAGGTAAATTATACAATGACTCTTTTATCCATAAAAAGTCATTGTTAGAATGGGCAAAATTGTCCAACATGTTTTGTCAGCTTTCCTCCCAGGTGGGAAAGTTACTTACCCACCTAGGGGATGGGTATCGTAGGGAAAGTGAATTTTCTGTGGGTCCCAAATGAATCCTGAAAACGGACATGGGAAAAGCAATCAATGGGAACCACAATCCCATTGACCGACTTCCCCCCAACCCATCCCCCCTTCAGAATCTGGAAAACGAATAGGTCCTTAGTCTCCCTTCCTCTAACTCTCTTTTTTTTAATATTTTATTATTAAGAAATGTTAATTCTAATATTCAATGTTTATTAAATTTATTTGAACTGTGGCCCATAAATGGTTTGAATGGTTAATTGATTTAAACATCTAGGACAACAGTTTTTATAATATTTTTTTCAGGTTTGGGGTAAAACAGACCCATCTTTTACTCCAGCTGGCATTTTAAACTGTTTAATGAGCTGGGTCAACAGCAGGTCACAAACACTAGTCAAGCTTGCAACGCAAATCTTCTCATATCTAACATATCAAATGTATCAAGTATAAATGCTTTCACATCATGTATCCAAGAAAAAAACCTATGGAAAAAGAGGAATTAACAAAAGGGACCACCAAAACAACGATCAAATGGCACCCAACCACTACCTACAATTCCTCTCTACCCACCACATTTCTAGCCAATGAATCATAGTTGTCAAGGCGACGCCTAGGTGACAAGGCGCCCTTGGAAGCTTGCCTCGCCTAATTGCCAAGCAGTTCCCTATAGCGTGTTATAAAAAACTTTTATATTCTTAATATTTTGAGGTTATAATTATAAAATAGACATTTTTAAACTAAAATATTAATTTTGTGTCTATATACTAATTTCTTGTTATTACTTTCTTATTTGTTAGGGTTTAATCAACACAAACATTGCTAAATGCTGTATTGAACCCTCAAAGACTTMAAAACCTGAACCAATAAGTAAGRAAGAAYATAAAATGTTGTCCAGTCAACACATTTTCTTCTTTTTCTTTACTAATTTTGTGTGTTTATATATTAATCTTCTTCTTTTCTTTTTTTCTTTTCCTATAACAGAAATAGGGATTCAGCCCCTATATTTTTTGAAATTTCTTTTCTTTCTTCTTTTTCTTCTCATGAATATGTTGGAATATGTTGATTTTCTATACTTATGAAGTTTATACTTTTCTTATGAAAATCATTGATATTTATTAAGGAAATATAATTATGGAACCTAGGGAACTACCCTAGGATACATGTTTTTACTTTAAAAAAATCCTTCGCCTAGGCGATTAGGCGACAAGGCGCCCCCTATCGCCTAGCCTCACCTTGGTGCCTTGAAAACTATGCAATGAATCAGCATAGTTACATTCCCTTGAGATCCATCTCAGAGGTGCTGACTTCCCTCATAAAAAATAATAAAATACTAATAAGACATTGACCTATCCTAAAAATACTATAGTGGGCTATTCCTGTTTGGTTGAAACCTGAGGCCTCTCGAGTGAGAGCCCTTTATTTCTCTTTCTCCCTAGGAGTTGGTGAAATTTTCTCCCTGGCCCCTGCATTTATTGTTTGCAGTAGAATCTTTGGTCTTTCTCACCTTGAGATTGATTCTATTCCTACTTTAAGCTGTTTGGTGATCAAGGATTGTTCTTTCATTTATGGATTCTACAGATGATTCCAAGCAAGGTATGGATATCAATCTTGCTTTGATTGGAACTATGGATAGCATACAAGTAACCACTGTGAGGTTTGATGATAGAAGGTTGACTTCTGGGTATTGTGTTTTGTGGGTGGGAATTTGGTTTATGGAAAATTAAGCAGTCTATGGTTGCTTGTTCCAATGCACAAGCTGAGCATTGAGCCATGGAAAATGGTGATTAAGAGGTACTTTGGTTGTGAATTTTGCTTGGAGAGATAGGTATTGTATTTGATAAACCACTGGTGCTACATTATGATAATCAGGTAGCAATCAACATGGCTCATAATCCAGAACAAAATGATAGAGTGAAGCACATTGAAGTTGATTGCATTTCACTCAGTAAGTGCTGTCCAGCATAGCGTGTCTTCCATTTCTTAAGATCGATCAACATCTTGCAATACGTGCTTACTAAGAGAGTACGTAAGGTTGGACTTTCTAAAATGAGTCAAATATAAGGTTGGAAGAGGAGACAAGGTGCAATTTTTGACTGGCAAATGGTGTTCAGACTTGACTCTAGCTCAGATATTCCTCTCCCTATATAAAATAGCTTAAAATAGCGAAGCCATTGTTGAGGAGTGCTACAAGGAGGGTGAAAATGGAGCAATCTATGGTCCTGAATTTAGAAGAAATCTAAATGACTGGGTGATCAGTCCTATTGCAGAACCGTTGGGTATTCTCCATGCTGTATCTCCAAATATTTCAGCAAATAATAAAATCCAGTGCTTTTATATTCCTCTTTCCCTTGTGCAAAAATCTGGTGCTCTTGTATTCCTTCTAATGTAGCCTTCTTAGTCTGGACAGCTACTCTTGGAAAATGTCTCAGCCTGACCACTGATAAGTGATTCGGAAGGGGTATGGGTTGGATTAATCACAGTTACAGTCTTTGTGGGCAATGCATAGAGTCTTCAAACCATCTTTTCATTCACTGCAACTTCACATATCAGTTGTGGGTAATGGCCCTGTCCTGTTTTTGGCCTCCAAGGATGTATGCCTAAATCCCCCCTGCTGGTTCTTTTTGAAGGATGGATGATGCAAGCTTAAGCAGCAAAGGGAAATTTGTTTGGAGCATATACCCACTGCTATCTTGAGTGTCTTCTGGGAAGCTTGAAAAGAAGGAAATCTGAGAACTTTTTATAGTAAACCCAATGATATATCTATAGTAAAAAAAAATCTTAAAGGCATGCTGTATTCATGGCTTAGTATACCAAAGGAATTTCAAGGAGTTCCTCTGCAGTCTGTTTATGTACATGGGCAGTTGTATATTTTGGCAGTTTATTTTATTTCAATACAATACTTTACTTTTACCAAAAAAGGGTGTACCTAACACCTAAGCCTAAGCTAGAACATATGCTTGGCAAGATGGGCATGATTTCCATCTCTGCTTATCTTGAGTGGGAGTGTTGAAATATGTGTTACTTTTCAGTATGGTAATGATTGGGCTTGATCGGGAGTCTTTATTTGCTACAATGAGAAGGTTATGTATGACATGTAGTTATCCTGGTCTTTTTTATCAACAGACTAGACTATTTAAACTCTGAAAAGCATAGCTACAACCTATAATATAGTAAATTACCTATTCAAACATCAACAGGAAGCAAGCTAAACCATTTCTATAACAGTTGGTATGACATTCTTCCATCTCTACCCTGGTGCAGTATGAGCTATTTCCATTATTGAAATCCAACCTTAATACTTTGAGACTTCAAACTTCAAAGATGAAAATTTCCGACTCTGCTAGCATTTTTTGGATTCCATTAGCCAAAATTCGGAAGTAATCTGCAGAGCAAACCTACTTCCAAGCCTGGAATGTTGAACTATGTTATATGTCTCACAATCTGAAAAGGGGATAAGATAAAGGTATTTTCCAGGATTCTTCAAGTAAACATGCAGCTATGGTCCCATGAAAAATTTAGAAAGACAAAAGCTATCTAAGCTCTGCTTTTGAACTTAAATAAGTTGGAGACTAAAATGCTTCTTGCTCACTGCCAGATATAAGGAACTAGAGTCATTTTCAAAAAAAAAAAAAAAGAAAGTAATACGTCCCAAAGTTAAATAAAAAACTGTAAGGAATAAGCAATAAAATCAAATGAAACTGACACATACAAGGAAGAAAGATAAGATTAGCCTGCCATCAGTAGATAGATTATAGACCAAATAGGCATTTTTTGTTTTTAATGGTAATCAAAACTAAATTAAAAAAAAAGGAGAAGAAAGACTTATAACCTAAATTGAAAGACGCTCAGCTTGCACTAATCATATCCTATAAACAGATATGGAGAACACAGACAAAAGATAATACATTTATTTCACTATGAAAACGGGATAAGATACTTACATTGATCCGGACAATCTGTGTCTGGCCTCAACAGGGCTTGGCAAGGTACCAACAGCTCCTCTCATCTTTATTTAGTTACAGCAGGGAAAAGCACCATCTGATCTAGAATCAATATAAAACGTGCCCAAGTGAAGATGGAAAGGTATATACAAAGGTATAAGAAATTTTAGAGAAACTAAAAACAGAGGGATCTCGGGAAGACTATAAAATAATGCTGGACAGCAAACTGGGAGAGAAAGAAAACTCCCAGTTGAGAGGAAAATGGAAGAATAAAACCAATAATATGTAATTGTTAAGAGTCAATGCAGATTGATGAACGGCTAGTTCAAAATTAAGATGCTCATAGGTAGCCAAAGAAAAATCAAATAAAAAATCGAGTCAAATGGGAATATTATACTCTATAAATAATCAATAAAATAGTGGTTAAAATTGGAATCAGAACAATAGGTTAGACAAAACAAACTCTGAAAACAAGAAGCGAACAGAAGAGACAATGATATAAACAAACAAATCCTAGAAACAACTCTTCGATCAATCAATCCACCAAATAACAAAAAACCACTGTTACCCAGATACTAACTTGGAAAACCCAGATACCAGAAAGACAATAATCCATCAATGGAACACCAAATGAAGTCGAATTGAACTAAATGAAGTAAAACAGAGGAGAACTAACAACCCAAACGCCTGAAACAAGAGATCTTTCGGAGACCCACGTACAGGGAAGTTGCAGAGATGTGTAGGAACAAGCCTCTTAATCTCCCTCCTTTTCTCTTTCTTCTCTTTTAGTTATTGCGCTCGAGTTGGAGGTGTTGTTTGGACAAAATCTTCGGAGCACAACACAAATAAAATGGCGCTGTAAAGGCGGTTGAGTGTTACAGATTTTAGCTCAGATAATCAAGTAAGAGTGAAGCATGGTAAGAAAACGAAGAATCTCATGTAATTAATTTTTTATTTCATTATTATTAATTTTTCTCTTTTTCTGCTATATTTCAAAATAGTTTTCGACGCTACTCGGCGATTCGTTGCTGGTAAACTTGCTGAAGCCGACGAGATTTTTACTTTTTATCCACGGCTGCTTATTTTTGTCGTAGCCTCGTAAAGGAAAAAAGCAATAGAAAATAAGGAAAAAGAACACATCTCCTCTTTAAATGGACAAGAATACCCTTTTTTTTAATAACTAATGTAAATAAAGATGGGTGTTTTTGTCTTTTAAGGTAAGTACTTTTTGGCTTTTTTGATTGCCAAGTAATGTGCGAGTCCGGATCTGCTCTCACAGACCGCGCCTCACATCGACCTGACACTATCTCCTGGCCGCACGTTGTTATTCATAGCCGAGTCGGTATCTGTTCCTCACAAATGGGCGCCTCACGGTCACGTTCGTCGTGCATTGGAAACATTTTCTGTGAATAATACTTAATAAATACGAAAATGTTTCTAATGCATGGTAAGATTGCGTGTGAGATACTTGTGAGGCGCCAAGTGTGAGAAGCAGATTTATAGGAAGATGTTATCAATACAAAAGTGAGATGTGGCTGTGAGATTGGTGTGAGGCGCGCTTTGTGAGGAGCAGATCCCTATACCCAATTAGTGTTCTTTATCTTGTTTATTTATTTTTTATATTTTATTTTTCTTCAGTTATAAACCTAAAATTAGAGAGTGATCACTAGTGAACATATTTTATTAATTCTCTCTCTCTGATCATAAAAGAAAAACAGTAAAAGCATTGAAACATATCACAAGGGATGTGCACCATCTTTTAGCTATGCCTTCTATACACCATAGCCATGTATCAAACAGGTGAAAGGAAAAATTTTGATTTTTTTTACTCCTCTTGGTATAAAACCCTGTTTTTTTTTCTTATGTTATCACTTGTTTTCTGCAAAAGGGGAGAAGTCAAGTCTAAGCATGTGATTTTGAAAATAAATTGAACTACTAGTTGTCTCTTTATTTTTTTCTTAAGAAAAGTTTTGTCTCTTTGCAAAGGAGAATAGACTGAACTTTATAATTAGCACATTATTCTTGGGTTTAATTAGTTAATATTAGCTGTCATATTAGATTAATGATCTGTCGTTTGAGTTTGAATGTGGTTAGGTGTAACCCCACCTCACTTAATATCACAATCTTACTTACCAAATGTGAACAACAATCATTCTCTTAATATCTTGTTGTTGGGAAAAGACTAAAGAGATTGGCTTAAGAAAGAGAAAGACTAAAAAGATTGGCTTTGTGAATCTGATAGTGAACATTTCACTTTCATTACTTACTACTGAGGTTCTCTCCCTCGTTTTATCCATATCCTTCTATCTTAATGCCTAACACCCCCCTCCCCCCCAACACACACACACCGCTATCTCCATAGGCCATACCTACAAATACTAAGAGAGAGAGAGAGAGCCCACTACTTTTCATATGATCTTTTTTAATGTAATATTTGAGGAATAATTCTTATTTATTTAAATAATGCCACAAACCAACCTACATTCAATCAAATTGGAAAAAAAATTAAGAATTGATCATTTATGTTTTAAACATGTATCATGTATTTATGGCATGCATTTATGGTTAGGTAAGTGCTTGATGTGAGAAAATTGACAGTATGTTCTTGGGCATATTTTAATAACTTTGGTGTTAAATATCTTCATCAAACAAACAATTATTTTTTAAGTCCAAGGGTAATGGGATGAGTTATAGTACAAATTTGGTATAGAAAAGCCAGACAGGCCAAGCCATCTTGTTAAGGTAAGAGGGGATAGGAATTGATACCGCCAAACTCCTATGTGTTATTTCTTTGTGTGTAAGCTATATTTATTTGTGAACACTTATTATAGGTTTAGCGGTCCTTTCAAGATTTAATCCTTACCAAACCCAAAGCCACATTTTATTCATAAAGAATAAAATCTTTGCTGGTCAACATAAGGCCAAAAACAATCTACACAGTAACTACTAATTAAGCAATCTACGTAAGCATATATAGTTTTTTTTTTGTTTTTTACTTGATCTAGGGTGAATAACTTCACCCACCTGAGCATGTTCCATTTGGCATGCACAAATAATCCACATGCATGCATGGTAGGTTTAGAAGTATCATATTCATGGAGGAATGATGCGATAAATCCAAACCGTTCATCAAATCAATCTGATAATAACGTAAGGGTATAAATAGATTGAATTTGAATAGAATCAAGTAATATCCAAATTCGAATTCAATTAGAAAATTTGATATCTGAATTCAACGTTCCGATTCAAATTCGATTAAATATTCAAATATTTGATTCGATTTGAATTTGACTAATTAATTATTTTAGGTAATTAATAAATATATAAATTATTTAAAAATTTTATATATTATATATAATTAAATAATCGGTTGAATTTAAATATTTATCCAATCAAATCAGATGATATTTAAATTCGACCGATTATAATGTTCGAATTATCCAAAATTGATTTGATCATGTCGAATCTCACATTCTAAGTCGAATTTTCAAATACAGTTGACACCCCTAAACCCATTTAAGTTCACCTCGCCAATATCGGAGCCATTTAATTAGCAAGACAAAGAGATTGACCCTAAAGGGTTTTTATCTAAGCGGGGAGAGAGAGAGGTTTCCCTAAACCTACCACAACAAGAGAGAGTAATTAATATAGACCTACTAATACCTAAAACCTCTGACCTGAAAGATTCCCCAATTATAGAGCTTCTTTCCCCAAGCTGGTCTAGTTAATTGCAACTGTTGTCATTAAAGTTCTGGAGATATTCCACTTTCCACCAACTTGGTTACAACCCCATCCAAAAGACAGAGAAGCCCCTCTTTTTATTTTAATAATAAATCAACATAAAAGGGTATTTTAGTAACATCACTTAACATTATTTAATTATTGTTGTTGTTAACCTTCATTATTAATTATCAAGGAACATGGTCCCAAAGGTTGGCCGCCCCATATTCCAACGACCCCTTCATAAAAAAATACGAGTTAGGAGAAGTAACTTAATTAAGTGACGAATTAATCATCATGTTTAAGGAGACAAGCAGGGAATAAGGCACTGTAATCATGGAATTCAGAATTTCGAACCTCCAACGACTAGATTTGGAACAACAGAACTGTTCGACGTGGGTACATGCATCCCCAGACAACTGCGGTTGTGACTTGCTTTTTGATGGAAGCCTTGCACCAATCGCTACGTCTCATGCCACCACTCTCTCGCATGAACCATCACTATACAAATTTATAATCTGTTTATTTTAATAGAATATAAAAACTCAGATTGATATCAAGCTGGAATACCTTTCCAAGCAAGTCTGTTAGGCTAAGCTAAAATATTTTCTGATTTTTCTGGAACAGAACGATAGTCGTCACTATACAAGTGAACAGAGACGGAAGAATGGGAAGCGTAACGTGGAATCGTACGTATCTGTATTCAAAGCAAAGCAAGCATGCGTGGCAAGGATGGGATGGTCCCAGAGTTCTATTATTGGTTGTTGGCATTGTCATGGATGCTTTGGTTAATGGTCTCTATTCGGTTTACTAGAGCTGGGACTGTGGGACTGGAGCTTAATTAATTGGATGAAAGTGGAAGCCTGACCAAATTGTGTTATTTGGGGTCTTGCTAAAGGAAGAAAGGAAAGAAAACAAAGAAATTTTGTTATTTGAGATGCTGGGTTATAAACTATATGCCTATTGGGCAGCTGCCATTGTTGGACCAAGGTTGATGGGTCCCACAAATCAGACCATATTATGATGATAAAGTCATATCTCACATACTTCTTCTGATCGTTCCCTTGTTTACCCACTTTGCTTATCTTGTGGTCCTTTTCCATGCAAAGAATGAAAGAATGATTGATTTCTCAGTCACCTGGACAAACATGACTCTTTCTTTTCACTGCTTCCTTTTTTCCTTGGAGAGAGGCCAAGGGAGGCTTGCTGTGGGTGGAATGATCAAGGAAATGACCCTATTGTAGGCCCCACAACTAGAGCCCTAAAAGTAACCACATGTTGGATCAGAAGATGCTTTTCAATTTCCATGGTCATCAAAACTCAAAGCATGTTGAGATGACTCTTAGCCATTTGATATCCGACTGACAGAGCTTTGATAGGACAGACATCTCTCTACCATCCAATTATCCAAATAGATCTCACCAAAAAGAAAAACAGGATACTATCCCAATAGATGCAATCAGAACAGAATTGTGACCAATGTTGACCCACTTTTTTTAAAGCCTAGTTTGTTTGCAAAGTAATTTCATTTGCACTGGTGAAAGAGAATGGGAGTACAAATGAGTTACCGTGTAAATAAAGTAAAAACCCAAGTAAAAATGAACCAGAATTTATGTTCTTCTGACCATGCATTTATACTGGTTCAAATGAAATTGAATCGAAAGCAAATAGAACCTCAGTGCAAAACCTTGTCATTTTGTATTATTTTATATTCTTAAACCTTATATTTGTACTGTATATTTGTATTTGCATTTTTTCCAAATTCAGCCTAATAATGGTTCTGCGCGGGAACCATTTGTTTTAGTTTTAATAACTACTGAACAGAGTCCGCTCTCGATGCACCCATGGGTGCATTGGACGCGTGAACCCACCCATCACGTTCAACCACGTTGATTGAGCGTGGGATAGATAACGTTAACAGAGGTTTGGCCGTCAATTGATGGAATCCGGTTCAACCGGACACAAAAAGACAAAAACTTGACATTTCACACATTTCGAACTGCCCCTCCCTATCCGCTCCTCATTTCAAACTTTACCACAGCAACTCACCGGCACCCCCGTGAACGACGAAGCCACCGGCGGCACTCTCTAGTTCATACGTCTTCTTCTTCTTCTTCTTCTTCTTCTTCTTCTTCTTACAAATCTAATGTTTTTTTCTTTCTATTTTCAACAGGTCGAAGCAGATCACACCGGCAGTCAGCATTCTCTACTTGATCTGCCGACATTTGACGTTAAGGTCCTCAGGAGATTTCCTGCAGTTTTCAGGTTTTCCCGCTTCAATTAGTTAATGCCCATTTTCGTTATATTGTTCTAGACAGCTCTGATATTACTTCACAGTTATGAGTCCTCGTTGATTCCTTTCTTCCTAATCTGTAGCCATTTCAAGTCTACTCTGAGAAACAACTCAGTTAATTATAACATGTAAAAGTTTGACTATGTAATTGATCACTCAGATTATGATGCATTTCTGTTCTTTCGATGATCAAGTCAATGTGTAGGAACCTTTCTCAGAGCTCAGAGGTAATGGATCTGAAGTTTGTCAAAGCCATCCACTAGTTGAGTTGCTCAACACATGGAGGGTGCTTTTTTCTTCCGCTAATTATCACTTTTCTCAACTCATGATGGACTCTGCTTGTTAAAAGCGGGAATTTTTTGCATATACAGTCAGCAATACATCTTACAGTCCATGTTAAATTGATAATATCAACCATTTTTTGAGTTTAGATTTATTCATATTCGTTTGTTCTTCATTGCGAAATACAGAACTCATTCTTTTATATTTGAGATGTAATATTCCACCATTGTACAGAGTTTTTCATGGCCCAATTCAGGGGTCAGTTATACGCAGAGAAAAAAATGGATACATACGTTTTCCTTATCTTCCAAAATTGTTCGATGATCAAGAGTTTCCTGTTTATCTGCTTATAGATTCCCATACTATCTTAGTAGACGAAACCATAGGTTCCATACTGACCTCTCGAGTCTCTTAAATCTACCTGTGTGTTTAGCATATTTCAGTGTTTGATCTTTTCTCCCAACTAGTTATTTGTCAAAAAAAAAAAGGGAAAAACGAGTATAATCCTACTTTGCACGTAATTTCTACAGACCAATCATGGAAGAAACGTTCGTGCCCTTTCGCGGGATCAAGAATGATCTCGAAGGAAGACTGTTGTGCTACAAACAAGATTGGACTAGTGGTTTCCGTTCAGGTTACAGGTCCGAAGAAGAAGAAGAGGGAGAGGAAGAGGAATAGGAAGAAGACGTACGAACTAGAGAGAGTGCTGCCGAACGATTTGTCTCTCGCCACCGGTGGCTTCGTCGTTCACGGAGGCGCCGGTGAGCTGCTGTGCTAGAGTTCAAAATGAGGAGCGGATAGGGAGGGGGAGTTCGAAATGTGTGAAAAGAAAATAAGGTTTTTGTCTTTTTGTGTCTGGTTGAACCGGACTCCGTCGATTGACAATCAAACCTCTGTTAACGTTACCCATCCCGTCCTCAATCTACGTGGGCAAACGTGATTGGTGGGTTCACACGTCCAGCTCACCCATGGGTGCACAGAACGCGAGGCCTACTGAATGACACATGACTAGTAACTACATAGTCACCATCCAGGGTTCAGCGTTCAGCCCCACCTAACTGGTCCAGTTGCATTGCTTTTTGTCTGTATGGCGTTGGGGCAGAAATTCAATACAGCCTCATCGTATTAATTAGCGGCTCCCAAAACCCAAAATGCTAACGCCTAGAAGTGGACATTCAACCAAAATAAAGTAATGATGTCTGGTGCATTTGTAATACATGTGCCGATGGGTTGTTAACTATTTGAGCGTGTGGTTTGGTGGTTACGAGGTTTTGGTTATGTAAGAAAGAGATCGACCTGTTTCAGTGTAGTTCAGTTTGATTCTAATCCACTGTACAACTCTCAACAGTCCATGAGTTCAGGTAGATTTCAGCCCGATGTCGCCACTGACTGACTGCATCTGTTACGTGGGTCGAAGAGGGCGGGTGAATGGGTAAACTTTGCAAGGGATACACGCAAATATTCAACAAACATACTGGTGGCTGTCGGCTGTCGAGGTCTCTTAAATATGTAAAGCAACAGAAGCAGGTTGAGAAGATGACAGGTGAAAGAATTCGGTTTTGGAATATGGTTAGATTTTCACCAACTCCAATTAAAAGGAAAAAGGATACTTCCATTATTATGACATAATACTTTAGCAAACCACAATCAAAACAAAAGTGAAGCCTGGACTATGGTTCCAATTTCCAAAAATTGATTGTGCTTGAACGCTCTGAGAGGGAAAGTAAAGGATATAGCATGAACTCAGCAACTAATACAAGTAAAATTTGAGAACCAAAATTACAGGGGATCTAGTTTAACTATCAGAATGAGAACTTGAATCCTCCTTGGGAGGTGCTAACTGCTTGCTAAGGCGGGACCTTGTCCAAGGATCCAAGGGGGCCCTTGGTGGTGGTTGAGGAGTTGCTGGTTTTGATTGTCTGAGTTCATTCTCTCTGTCTATGAACCTGCAGAAGCAACACAGATGAAGGGTGATGAATTAATACAGGAAAACATGAAATCATTTAAAGATTGTCTTTAATGTTGTTTTCTTATTGGTAAAGAATACATGTTTTAACAGATCTGAAAATTATTGTTCAGTTCCTTTCTGGAGGCAGGGAACAATATCTCCTTTTAAGGATGTCTCTTCACGGGGATGGTTGAAATTCATACTTTTACCAGAACTATCAATATCAGTTGTCATCATCATCTGATCCATCCCACCTAAGTGGAATCTGCAACCTTTAAGTGAATTCTTCCAAAAAAGTTAACTCAGTTTCTTGTAAACTTCATTCAACTTAGCACCTTCTGACAGTACACAACCTCTCTAAGCCTATGAAAAATAGAATTCATGAATTAACGGTACCACCTAAAATAAGTTCAAATAGAAGCTTACTCAATATAGGCCATTTCTGCAGCATCACCAACTCGTATGCGAGTTCGAAGTAGCCTTGTGTACCCACCCGCTCTATCTCTGTAAACACAGTACATGCCTATGCTTATAAAGATGCCATCACCAAACAAAAGATGGAAATTTGGATTGCTGGAAGAATTACTTGTAGCGATAAGCCAGCTCAGTAAATAGCTTGTGAAGGACGTCATCCCCCCGCACAAAAGCAGAAGCACGCCTCGCAGCACAAAGAGAACCCTGCAGTAGGTCAAGAGAAGTCAAAGACACAAACAAAACTCACAAGGGTGTGAACTTTTCACCGGAAGCCAGTGAACCACATGATTTACACTGAGTTCCTTCAAAATTTCCTAAGAGAAACCTAAATCGGAAATCAGATGGGAATATTCATGTTAAGATCTTCAATCAGAAATACAAACTTCATGTAACTGCAAGTGTTCAATTGGTTCCCCTAACATTGAGCATACCATAAAGTTTAATTAGTATTTGGTTGGTTGTCCTACTCCTACCACTGCAAACACTATAAAACTTGTTCTCCTATTATTTAGCAATGCCATAGAGCTTAATTTTGACATATATTCCTTGGGGAAGTCTTGGCTTCTTGGGTTGGAGCCTGGAGACGCCTTCAGAGACGGTAGATGGGTGATTTGGTGAGGGCATAGCTCATATACTTCTTATTTTTGAAGATAAATAAAGAAGAGAATTTTATTACTAAAAAGAAGAATATAGTTTAAAAGGTCATGAAGCATTAATGCATCAAGCTGCAGGGAGGTTGCAAAGCTGAAGTCTATAAAGGGGCCAAGAAACACATCACTTAAAATGTCATGAAGCATTAATGTATCAAGGCTGTCCTAGTATTTCATGCCTCTATAAAAACCAAATTCCAAGAGATACATGTGGAGACAGAATCAACAGAGGAAATTGAAGAGTTTTTTCCACTTGAGAATGGATAAAGTTGGGGAATTTTAGACAAAGAGGGGCATATCCCCACCAAAAGTCTTCCAAAAACATAGGTAAACTGGTAGAGTGGGCCTTTTCCCCTGAAGAGAACAAACTGCATTACTAGTTTGCTACATAAAGTGGAATGTACTACATACAAGGAACAAGATATGTATCACACTACCACTGTGGCCAATGTGCAAGATATACATACAAATATAATGTCATGCCAGTTATCACAGAAGAGAAAAACTAAGGCCAATAAACTCTGGCAAAATGGAGAGGTAGAAGTAGATCATTGATCTCCTTCCTGATTGAAGCCAGCTTTGAGGCACCTATATATATTTGTTCCTTTCCTTCCATATCTTCCAACAAAGAGCAAGTGCAATAAGTTTCAACTAGGATGTTGATGTGGACGCGTATTGGGAGCAGCAGCAGCAATGATCCGGTGTTCTCATCCTATCCAATTCGGCAGCAACAGTCTTATCCATTCAGCAGATTA